TGAATAAAACTAAAAAAAAAAGACCGTACCCTTTTATGTAATGATGTTTACTTTGAATTTATATTAGTTCACACAAACACTCCACCCATGCTTTTGTTCCGGCCCTCCGGTCCAGTTTAAGAACCCATTGTGACTCTCGAGTCAAAAAGTTTGCCCACCCCTGGGCTAGTGTGTGAGCTTGGACAGGTCACTGCTCTGAGCCTGTCTCCTCCTCTGTGAAGTGGGACTGGCAGTGGCCTCACCGCCTGGCCCATGGGGGACTAACGGGGTTGGTGCTCAAAACAGGTCCTGACACAAGTACACGCCCAATGAGCCCCAGCCCGTGTTACCGTTGCTCCTCCCCTGGGGACAAGCACGGGGCTGGTGCAGGCAGAGGAAGGTGGTCTAGGGCACATGGCACCCTGGACTCCTTGGGCATCCAGGGCCAAGTGCCCAGATGGGGCACACGGGCGCTGATGGGACAGGGCTGGGCCCGGGGCTCAGGGGCCCAGGGCTGCCCAGCTCTGGGACCTCCTGCCGGCCCTGACTGTGGTCCCCGGCTTCTGGACCCCCACCCCTGGCCCACACCCTGAGAGAGGAGGGGTGAGGTCAGTGCCAAGAGTGTGGCCGGGGCTCCGGTGACGGGGGCCTGCCCGGGGGCCCTTTGCAGATGGTGGTTCTCATGGACCCGATGGAGGACCCCGATGACATCCTGCGGGCACACCGGTCCCGAGAGAAGTCCTACCTGTTCGACGTGGCCTTTGACTTCACTGCCACCCAAGTGAGAGGGCTGGGCCTGGGGACACCCTCTGCCCCGCGTGTGAGGGACCCTCAGAGGACCTGCCACCAGCCCTCAGCCTGCCCTCCACCGCTCGCTCCCTGACTCCCCCCTCCTGCGGCTCCGTGCGTGCAAGTGTGCGCTCGCCTGCCTGGCATGTGCACGGCCTCCCGCCTGGGCACACCCGGGTTGGTGTGCAGACACCTCCTTCCACGGGTACCCCCACGGCACACCCGGCAGGTGGCCCCCTGGGAGCTGGAAGGAGGCGCGGGAAGCCCATTGGGTGTGAGGAAGTCTCGGGGAAGCTGACACCCTCCCAGGGACCCCCGTCCTGCCCACCTGTGGGGCGTTCCCGGGAGCAGATGCAATGCGTCCCCGAGGCTGGGGGCCGGCCGCCAGCTGTGGGGGAGGCATCTCAGGTGTCCTGAGCGCTCTTTCAGGCGGGCATCCCCCCATGGGCTGAAAGGAGAGACACCCTCCTCCACGCCCACCCCCACTTCTCTGGGGCCAAGGGACAGAAAGGCCGCTGTGGGGAGCAGCGGGAAGGTGCCCGTGGGCAGGGTGCCCCACCCGTGCCCAGGCCCCTGGCGGCTGTCCTCTCCCTCCCCTGCAGGAGATGGTGTACCAGGCCACCACCAAGAGCCTCATCAAAGGCGTCATCTCAGGCTACAACGCCACTGTCTTCGCCTATGGCCCCACAGGTGAGGGGAGTCCACACCGTGGGGGGGACCGGATGCTGTCCCCCGTGAGGAGCAAGCCCCCTCGCCCTGTGCCAGAGAGCCCGTCTGGCCCCAGCTGGGGCAGGGCTCAAGGATGTAGCTGATCCACCCCCCTCGCAGGGCCCTCAGGCCCCAGCGGCCCCATCCCCAGGCAGGACACCATCCTCCCCAATCCTCAGGGGACACACCCAGGTTGTCCAGGACACCCTGCCCGGCAAGGTGGCACTCCGACCCACCCCGCTCACCCACCCCGTGCTGTGCCCAGGCTGCGGGAAGACCTACACCATGCTGGGCACGGACCACGAGCCCGGCATCTATGCCCGGACCCTCGATGACCTCTTCCGCGCCATCGAGGAGACCAGCACTGACATGGAATATGAGGTGTCCATGTCCTACCTGGAGGTGAGCCTCCCGCAGCCGCTCAGTCAAGGGGCCCATGGGACGGGGCTGGCCACCTGCCCGGGCCCACCACCAGGCCGTTTCCCGGGCTGGTCCCCACGGCAGCCCTCCCGCACACGCTGCTGGCCCCACTTTACAGAAACGGGAAGCTCAGAGACATGAGGCAACTAGGCCAACGTCACACAGTGAAGAGAGGGAGCAAGGATTTAAACTCAGGAGCCCTGCTCACTGGCCCACACTCCCAAACAGCCTTCCGCTGAGCGTGGGCTCAGCGCCCACCCTCCGTCCTTGGCGTCCATTTCTTTCTTTCTCTTTTAATCCTCACCAGAGGATATTTTTCCATTGATTTTTAGAGAGAGTGGAAGAGAGAGGGAGAGACAGAGAGAAACATCGAAGTGAGAGAGAGACACATAGATTGGTTGCCTCCTGCACGTGCCCCAGCCGGGGCCCAGGCTGGGGAAGAGCCTGCAACCAAGGTACGTGCTGACCGGAATTGAACCCGGGACCCATCGGTCCGCAGGCCAATGCTCTATCCACACCAGCGAGGGCCTCCGGGTCCATTTCTTCAGGCCGACCCTGTCTGCCCTGCCAGGCCACCTCCTGGCGCTCGGTGTACGTGGGGGCTGCTGAGGACTGTACATACATGGACAGGCTTGAACCTGCCAGCCTCTGCTACCTCACCCCAGCCCCAGCACCCAGCGCCCACCTGTGGGAGGACCACCACCGGCTGGGCGGGAGCAGCAGGGGTGGGAGCCTGCAGAGGCCAGATGCGGCGAGAGAGCCAGTGGGCTGGCCTGCATCTGGCTCCCTGCCGCGAGGCTCCCTTCAGGAGCTGATAATCTCCCGGGTGACAGCTCCGGCAGAGCAGCGATGCATCCCCGCCAGCAGCTCTCCCATCAGCACGGCGTGGACTCTGCCAGCCAGCGAGGCGCACTGGGTGTGGGGGTCGGGAGAGTGGTGGAGGGGTTGCTTAGCAACAAGCAGGGCAGGCCGTCAGTCAGGTCCCCATCCCCTGCCTGCAAAGGGGGTCCCTCTCTCCTTGGCTCTGGTGGCTCGATGTTTCCAGTGGACGCTGAAGCCCCCGACCCCCCACCCCTTAGAAATAAAGGGGCCGTGAGCTCCTGTCCCTTCTCGCTCAGGAGGGATGGGGAACCTGGGCCTCAGTCTCCCACAAATACCTGTCACGCCCCTGTCCCTTCAGATCTACAATGAGATGAT